TTCAACATCCATTTATGATAAAAAACTCTCAATAAATTAGGTATAGAAGGAATATCATAAAGGTCATATACTAAAAGCTCTCAGCTAACATACTCAAAGGTAAAAACTGAAAGTATTTTCTCTAATATCAGAAATAAGACAAGGCCTACTCACAGTACTTCAATTTAACATAATACTAGAAGTTCTAGCTAAAGCTCTTAGGCAAGATAAAGACATCCAAATTGAAAAACAAGAAGTGAAATTGTTTCCATTTAAAGATGACACAATCTTAATATATAGAAAACCCTAAAAATTCCATGGGGAAAAAAAAACTGAACTAATAAACAAATTCAGTGAAGTTTAAGATTATAGAATCAATGTAAAAAAAAAAAATCAGTTGTCTCTACACCCTAACAACAAACTATCTGAAAAAGACATTAAGAAAACAATCCTATTTACAATAGCATTAAAAATAATAAAATTCTTGGGAATGCTTTGACTAAGGGTGTGAAAGATCTCAACACTGAAAACTATGAGACACTGATGAAAGAAATTGAAGAAGACACAAATAAGTGGAAAGATATCCTGTGTTTATAGATTGGAAGAATTAATATTGTTAAAACGTCTATACTACTTAAAGCAATCTACAGATTCAAAATGTAATCCCTATGAAAACTTTAATAGCATTATACACAGAAATAGGAAAAAGAATCCTAAAGTTCATATGAAACCACAAAAGCCCCCAAATAGCCAAAGAAATATTGACAAAAAAAGAACAAAGCTGGAGGCAACACACTTCCTGACTTCAACTACAATATATTAAAAAAATAATATATGAGGGAATATTGGGCAGGCATAGGTTCATGCATAATTTATGAACACAGACAATAGGATGCTGAAGGCATGGGGAGTGCGGGGGAGGTGAGGAAACTGGAAAGGGTCAATGGAAGAATAAAGGGACATATGTAATACTTTTAAAAATAATGAATTAGGAAAAAATAATATATATGCAAAGCTACAGTAATCAAAACAATATATCAGTGGCATAAAAACACACATATAGATCAATGGAACAGAATAGAGAACTCTGAATAAGTTCATGCATTACAGTCAACTCATCATCTACAAGTCCAACATTCTTTATTAATGGAAATTCCTGTATACTTTTGGAGCTCATTTACTTAAAAAAAAAATATATATATATATATATATATATTTTATTGATTTTTCACAGAAGGGAAAGGATAGAGAGCTAGAAACATCGATGAGAAAGAAACATCGACCAGCTGCCTCCTGCACACCTCCTACGGGAGATGTGCCTGCAACCAAGGTACATGCCCTTGATCCAAATCAAACCTGGGACCTTTCAGTCCCCAGACCGACGTTCTATCCACTGAACCAAACTGGTTTGGGCAAGCCCATTTACTTTTATTTTACATATCAGAGTCCTGGATTTGTGCACCAGTGGGGTCCCTTGGCCTGGGTGTGTCTGCGGGAGGTTGGCTGGCTGTGGAGGGACCGTGAGTGGGCTCCTGAGTATGTCCAGCCCATCTTGCCCAGTCCTGACTGGCCAGACACCAGCAGCATGCTAACCTAACAGAGCGTCTGCCTCTACAATTCCACCTGTTAGTTAATCCCCTGGATATTTTTCTCTTAGATTTACAATATACTACTTACTAATAACAGTTACTGGAAAAGGCTATCTAGAGCAGAGCTGTCCAATAGAAACTTAAGGTGAATCACAAATATAATTTAAAAATCTAAGTAACCCCCTTAAAAGAGTACAAAGAAACAGGTTAAACTACTTTTTAAAATCTTTATTGTTGAGATTATTACAGATGTCCCTCTTTTTTCTCTCCATAACTCCCCTACACCTGGTTCCCACCCCACCCCAGGCCCTTGCCACCCTATTGTCTGTGTCCATAGATATTGCATACATGCATATAAGATCTTTGTCTAATCTCTTCCTGCACCCCCCCCCCACCCTCTTCCCTCTGAGAATCATCACTCTTCTCCATTTCCATGTCCCTGATTCTATTCCATTCACCAGTTTATTCTGTTCATCAGATTTTTTATTCATTTGATTTTTAGATTCACTTGTTGATAGATATATATTTGTTGTAACTTTGTTCATAATTTTTTATCTTTACCTTTTTTTTCTTCTTTCTCTTCTTAAGGAATACCCTTCAGCATTTCATATAATTTAAATGATAGCTTTGCTGGATAGAGTATTCCTGGTTATGGGTTCTTGCTGTTCATCACTTTGAATATTTCTTGCCACTCCCTTCTGGCCTGCATAGTTTCTGTTGAGAACTTAGCTGACAGTCATATGGGTACTCCCTAGTAAGTAATTAAGAGTTTATTTTCTTGCTGCTTTTAAGATTCTGTTTTTGTATTTTGCCCCTGACATTTTTAATTATGATGTGTCTTGGTGTGGTTCTCTTTGGATTACTTTTGTTTGGGGTTCTCTGCACCTCCTGGACTTGTAAATCTATTTCTTTTACCAAGTAAGGGAAGTTTTCTGTCATTATTTCTTCAAATAGATTTTCAATATCTTGCTCTCTTCTTCTTGCACCTCATAATTCAAATGTTTGTATGCTTAAAGTTGTTCCAGAGGCTCCTTACATTATCTTCATATTTAAAATTTTTTAAAAAAATTTTATTTTTGCTCCTCTGGTTGGGTGTTTTCTGCTTCCTGGTATTTCAAATCATTGACTTGATTCTTGGGATCCTCTAGTCTATTGTTGATGCCATGTATATTATTCTTTATTTCAGTCAGTGTTGGGAGATCCTTTCTCCCCCCAACTGGTGGGCGGAGTTATGACATTACTGATGTCTGCCGCCAAGACATCCCTGAGACATTGCACCACCAATCAGCGCATGCTGAGTGCCCTGGGGCCCACCCCTTCTTGTTCAGCCCAGAGCTCAATCCCTTCTTTTTCCTTCCCTCAAAAGGCCGTCTCTACCCCTCCATTATGGCTGCTCTCCTTTCTCTGTGTCTCTCTCCATATCTCCATCTGCAGAGGCAGCCTCGTTGGGTCCATCCTCCTCCCCTTTTTCTAATTTTCCTCCTTAATGAATCTTGCTCGTTACTGCAGAATAAACCTACCTTTTTATGTTTTGGTCTCCGACTCCTGTTTCCTGCGCCTCAAACCTTACAAGTGTATGCTTAATTTCTGACTAGTCCTTTTCCATTTTTTTTTTTTTTTTCATTCTCACCAAGATACTTGAAGGTCTCACTAAGTTCCTCTGAAGTTTCTAGAAGATTCTTGAATAACCTTGTAACTGTGGTTTAAACTCTATATCCAGTAGTTTGCTTTCTTCCATTTATTTAATTTGTGACATGTTTCTTTGTCTTCACAATTTGGATGCTTCTCTGTGTTTATTTCTATGTATTGGGTAGTTGCTAAGTCTCCTTGAGTTGATAGAGTAGCCTTGTATAGTAGGTGCCCTATAGGGCCCAGTGACTCAGCCTCCCTAATCACCTGAAGTAAACATTCTTGGTGCACCCCTTTGTGGGCTGTGTGCACAGTCTTATTGTAGTTGAGCCTTGATTACTGTTGGTATCACTGGGAGAAATTGACCTCCAGACCAATTGGTTATGAGGACCAGTTGCAACTATAGTGGGAGAACTGCTGTGCAGGAGACACCCTTATGGGACAGGACTTGCTTCAGTGGGGCTTTGTTGCTCACTGAGTCTGCCCCTGAAGTGTGTCACTTATGGATCTGAGGAGTTGTAATCTGGATGGTCCCACTCTGACCACTGGGTACACTGGCTCTTGAATTTCCAAGGAGGTGAAGTTATAATATTTCCTTTTTTTTTCTTTATAAAACTTCTTCAAATTATTGAGGCATCAAACATTATTCTTTCAAAGAGCTGATATGCTTTTTTCAAAATTTTGATGTTTAGATTTTAAAAATGTTTACTTATTTAGTAAAAATTGAGTATATATAAATATATATGCATTTATAGGGTGTCCAAAAAGATATATACCCTTTGAATAATTGAAGGCAGCATTTATTAAAATACACTTTACTGTTAAAGTGTGATACATTTCTTTTGAGTAAAAACAAGATTATATTTTTAGACCAAATTGTGAGTCTTAGGAAAGGAACATATAATTATCATCTACTGAACCAGAGGAGCTATACTGGCATCTATCTATTGTGGACTTAAGCATTTGAGTGGGATTAGTGCAACTGGGAAGAGATTATTGCGAGTAAATTATGCACTCTGCCCTTTAGCTGTCATCTGGAATTGACTGCTCACCCTCTGGTTTCTATGACTTATCCCGGCAGCAATTCTTATGGTGTTGGCCATAGGAAAACATAGTACAATCCACAATTGCCCTCACCTAAAACTAGTCAAGCTAATTAACCCAGTTACTTTTATAGTTTGGGTGACAAAGTTTTATAATATTTGAAAATTATAAGGAAACTAAAACCTAACTTCAGTTTCCATGCACTGCACAATGCTAAAATTAGCAAAAAAGAAGACTTAGAGTTGTCTAATAGGAAACTTCATTATAAAAGGTTCTGACATGAAAGAGATTCTCCACCTTAACTTAGGAAAGAAAAACACAAACAAATGGATTCTTCATAGTGAAGTTTCAGCATTTCTTCTCTAGTTTGAGTCTGCGGTTTGGAATGATTCATAAATGTTTAAGCCTGATAGCTAGAAACTGAATAATTGACATTCCCAAGTCATATGAGAGATTTTTATGTAGTGACTCTCCACTCTTAAAGGTTGTTGATGATGAAGATAGTGATGTTGATGATTTTAAGAAAGTTAATGTTTACTGAGACTTACAATGGATCATATACTGTGAGGACAGATTTACATGAACTATGTCATAATCCTTATAATAACCTGATGAAACCGGCCCTGTTTTCAAATAAGGAAAAATGAAGCATAAAGAGGCTGAATAATAGCCAGTAAGTGACCAAACAGTGATTGGAGGTGAGATTCCAAAATATGCCTGTTAAATGACAGACATTTGGGACATCCTAGGAGAGTTCCTTGAACAAAAACATTTCTACTTAGCAGTCTATTCTACTCAGATGAGATGCTCAGGCAAATTTCACACACTCGTCACTGGTTATTCACATCTGTGACCTTCTCAAAGTGGCCTGGAAAACCTCCTGCGTTCAGGTCATAGGCCTAGTGTATTCACGGAGCAGCCAACAAGGCCAGAAGTGGGCACAGGGTAAGCCCACTAGCTGCAGCTGTATCGTCACAACGTCTGGCTTTGTTCCATTACTGATCATGCCTATTTTATAGATAAGAAACCTGAGGCTCAGAGAAATTTGCCTGGTTTTACTATGTTTATCCTTTTTGGAGTGCAGGGAACATGTGTTGGACTTGAAGATAAAGGTCTCAAGATATCCTCCTATGGAAAGCCACTCTGGAAACTTAATAAACTCCAGAATATCAATCAATCTAGATAATTTTTTTAGGGAGTAAAAAGTTTTCTATATTTGGTTTGGTTCTAAAAACACTAAGCCCTAATAGAGAAGAAACGTTTCTCTGATAAGAAAATAAAATTTTTTCTTTTTCTTTTCTTTTCTTTTTTTTTTTCTTTTTTTTTCTCAGAATGGTAACTTCCTTGTTTTGTGCCTTTTCAGAGAATGTGTGTTCTGTCAGCAGCTAAGAGCACAGATCTGGGCGTTGATCAAGACTCTGAAGTGTGGCCTGAGAAAACACAGAACTGAGGTAAGAAGTTCCAGGAAACATGGTAAAGCCTGTCACGATGTTCTGTGGTATTTCAAGTGCTTAGAAAAGGTGAACCTGAGGTGAATATGAAAAGGGTAAAGGCTCAATTTACTCTGAGAAACAGAAAACTCTGATAAACAAAACATGGATTTTTATTTTCTATGTAATATAAGGATGGCTTTTTGCTTCTGTTAAATAGAAGAAACCACCGTCAACTTGAGTTTAGGGCCCACCTTGGATGAAATCTAAATCCTTTATCATGATCCTCAAGGCTTTTCATCATTTGGCCACATTGCCTGCCATTCTTTCCCCATTCACTGTGGTCTCATCATTCCTTCATTCATTCCTTGTACACTTGCTTCATTCATTCCTTGTACACTTGCTTCAGCTTAAGGACTTTTTGCCTATGCCATTCCTTCTGTGTGAAATGCCTTTCCTACGGCTTTTCACTTTGAAGGCTCATTCTCATTATTCAGATCTCTGCTCAAATATCATATCCTTATAAAGCCTTTACTAGACCACCTTAATCAATGCTTCTGTTCCCCGAACCCACAATGCCATCTTTTGCACTAATCCGTAGTTCTCCTTCCTCTGGAGGACATGGGAAGATAATACTTTCACAACACCCTTAAGGTCAGGCAGGACTCTTTTGCCAATAGGACATAGATGAAAGTGATGTGGTGGTGTAGTCCTATCAGCCTCTGTGTGATCCAGGTATCAGAACAAGGAATAGAGCCCTACTGATATGTGGTATATAGGGGCATGCATAGAAACAAAACAAAACAAAAACAAAAAACTCCAACGTGGTTGTTTTAGGACATTGAGAGTTTGGGGGTTATTTGTTACTGACATATAACCAGCCCCATCTGGTCTTTTTTTTTCTTTTTTTTTTCCCCAAGTTTTAGAAAATTCTTTTTCTTTTTTTTTTCTTTTCTCTTTTCCCCATCTGGTCTTAACCACCATCCTTCTACTTCTATTTTATTTTCTTCAGAGCACCTTTTTTTTTTTTTTTTTAAGTGATCCTGTTTATTTTTATTAATCCACCCCACCCTACCAAACATTGTCAGCTGCATCACACGTATACAATTCACTAAAGGATTACGATTCCATATTGTCCATGGATTCCCACCAATCTCACATCATAAACAAGCTTTTCAGAACAGCCCTTCAGCCTTCTGCTAACTGCTTTGACATGAATCTGGCAAATGAGATGTCCATGAATGGTCCTTGAAGAACTAGGTGAGGTGCCCACTGCCTCAATGCTCTCATTGCCCCATACCATTTCTCCTGACAGTGGGCAGCTTATAAATGGAGCAGAACTAGACAGGATGGTTATTGCTTCCCATCCCTAATGTGGGTCTCCTCCAAACATGGACACTAGGAATGAAAAGGGTAAGTGTTTGCAGACCTGACACAATTCTGTTTTCTCCACACTGCACCCTGTTTAGCTAGATAGAACCAATATCTTCATAGACCAGGGGAATATGGTGCCCCTGCCTTAGATATGTTAATTGAGTGTAAAAAACCTTTAAGGAATGTGTCCACTTAGAAAGAAAAAAGTTTGCGCTGCATTAGCAGTTTCCAGACTGTGATCCCGAGGTGCAGCAAGAGGAAGGGGGAAAGATTACTGTGAGCCAACCTTTGTTTGCTCTCCTCTCCCTGGCCCCCCCTTCAACCAAAGCATCTCTTTTAGAAAATGTTTCTTATATATATAGTTATGAATTTGAAAGGGAATTTGTTGCTTTTAAACATGTTTTAAAAATTGAACTAGATATTTTCTAAATCATCTCTGCTTCTCATGTTTTAGGAATCTATGGCTCTGGTATGTTTAAGGCACTCTGCCAGGCACAGGGCACAGTGGACACATGAAAATGAAGACATCATCTCTGAGTTCTTGATTCAGCAGAATAAAGAGAGTCTTGCAAGAATACTATCAGGAGATGAATAAAGGTGGAGCAAGGAGGGAAAAGAGGAGCATACCAAGTGCAAGTTTTGATATTATGGGCCCTTTGCAACCTCATCAACTGATGATGGGGAACCTTTTCCAGGTCTTGACACAGTGTCTTTTAAATTGATTTTGGAACCCCAGTTACCCAGTACTCAGCTTCTTGCTTCATTTTCTTATTCATCTATGAGAGATTTTGTCTGGTATATCCTATGTTTTTAGCTATATTTATATCTTATTAAAATGTTAGTAACATATCTTGGCAATTTTCAATAAGAAGTCAAATGCTTTTATAAAGATATAAAATTCACTCCAATGTTAAGAGTTTCCAGCAACTAAGGAATCTCAAATTTGTAGACTTCAGTGTCCTGGCCACCCTGCTAATTTGGATATGAAAGTGTTGCTGTGTCTCCTGTCAGCAGAGTTGCTCAAGTCTTCTTGGTTCCACTGCAGGCATTGCCAATAACTGTCTTTGGATTTTGGGTTGTTATTTCTCTTTTATTGGTTTCAGTTCCCTCTGTGAACTAAGAGGTTGGATATCATTATCTTATTGCATTTTAATATTTCTCTTATTTTTGGTCATGCATTCCTTTATTAAAATTTCTAATTTGTAAAATAGGTTATATATTCATATGCCTTAAAATCCAAATGCTACAAATACATCTGCAGTAAAAGACACTACTGTCCTTTATTTGTCCAGTTCCCACTCCACTCTTCCTCATAAGTAATTACTTTTATTAGTTTTTTTCAGGTTTTCTTTCAGAAATCCTTCCTGCAAACACAGTCAAATCTTGTCCTCTCTTCTTATGAAGAAAATTAGAGCACATTTTATACAAAATATGTACCTAAAAAAACCTGTCTTTCTTATAGGTAGAATGTGCCTTTGTTCTTTTGCATAGCTGGTTAGCATTGTGTTTTATTGATACAGTTTAACTTATTTAACTAAACTGCTAATGATAGCTCTATAGGTTTATATTTTGCTATTACAATATATCATATTAAATAACCTTGTGCATATATAATTTCTAATGTAGCTGATAACAAATTCCTAGAAATGGGATTGTGAGACCAAAGAGTATGTATCTTTATTAATTTGTAAATTTAACAGCTATAATTAAAATGCCCTCCATAGGCATTATACTACTTGCCCCTGCCTAGGCATGTATGAAAGTGACTGTTTCCTTATAGCCTCACCGTCAGAATGTGCTGCCAAACTCATGGATTTACACAAATGTAGTAGGCTAGATATGGTGTCTCAATACAATTTTGATTTACACTTTTCTTTTTATGATTCATGTTAATCATCTTTCAATGTTGAAGAACCATTTATATTTTAAGATTCTGTTCTTGATCCTGAGACTTCTCATAGGCTTCTTACAAGAACAAACTTCTTTGATTTATCCATAGCTTCATTGAGCCATGTCCCCAAACTATGGGTGCTCAGTGGTCTCTCTAGCCTTCTCCTTGATTTTACACTTGAAAACACTTTTAGACTGTCCTTTATCTTCCCTCGTTCAACTTTAATTTGACATTATGTATTTATTTGGCTTTTGTATGGAATTGCTTTCTAATAGTAACTCTCCTAGCCAGAGCACATGTTGATATACACTAGGATTGCCTCATTGTTATACAATTCCTTACAGTCTTATTAACCATTAAAAAAACACACACCAAGAACAAAAAACAAACAAACAAAAAAACTCACAAAGACCTTTGCTTCTTTGTGCTCAAATCCAAGAAGATTTATATGTTCTTTCACTGAAGAAAGAGTGTTCAGTATTATCAATGCCTGGAATTTCCCGTGGCTTTGGGCTGCTAAGATTATTTATACATTGGTACAGTGTAAAGGCATATTTTCACCTGGATGCAAATGCATACTAGGGATTTAGAAGGACTTGGCACAGGGGATTGATATATGAGAATTCTTGACAAATGCTAATGCAAGCAGATAGAGATCCTGGGATGTGGTGCCATCTGACTTTTATATCCTGAAATAAACCCTCTATACAACTTAGTTGTATCTGGGTTATTTGGTATTGGAAGTGCTATAATATCCATATTCTCTGGCTAAGGTCTTTCAATGACACAACACAATACCTTAGTTTTCCTATGTAGTAGCACACAATCATATTACCTAAATAGTAGCATAATGCAGATAATTTTGACAGAACAGATGCAACCCAGGGCTGGCTCCATGGGCGTGTGAACTGTGCAGTTGCAAAAGGCTCTGTGCTCAGTAGGGCCCCATGTTTGGTTTAATGTTGTACTGTCATCATCACAAAATTCTTAACCATTTGTTGACAAAGGGGCTTATCTCTCATTTTCATTCTGACTGAGCACCACAAATTATGTTCTCGTCCTCATGCGACCTGAAGTTAGATTACCTGGTGAATCAAATCAGTTGTAGAGTGGAGTGCAATGGATTATTGTTTTCATTTTGCATCTGTCAATATCCTTCATTCTATTAAGGTAATTAATATAGACAACAGCATGGTGATGGCCCGAGGGAAGGGGTTGGAGGCTGGGTGGAGTTGAGCAAAGGAGGGATGAGGAGAGATGAGGTCATTTGTAAAAGGGTTAACAATTAAAAAAAAAAAAAAAAGGCAGTTGACATTTCTATTAGTGAATTTTGTTTGGAAGTGACAACTCTGTTAATTGGTTTCAACAGAAAAGGATTTATATTTATTTTAATCATTCCACACCTTATTTTTAAAAGCAGTCTAAATACAGACCTGGTGAATGGAATATTTTCCCTGTGCAACTCTGAGTCAATACAGAGAACACCATTGAGATTTATTTTAAGCCTTGCCGATGTGGGGTGTGGCTCAGTTGGTTGAGCGTGTTCCCATAAACCAGGAGGTCACAGTTTGATTCCTGGTCAGGGCACACGCCCCGGTTGCTGACTCCATCCCCATTAAGGGGTGGGTAGGAGGCAGCCAATCAATGTTTCTCTTTCACCCTCTCCCTTCCTCTCTGTGAAATAAATAAAAAAAGATTTAAGGAAAAGATTTATTTCAAAATTGTACTGAGCATGGTCATTTCTTTCTTTCATAGCTATGCTAAGTCTCATTCCCACATATAAATTTAAGTTTAAAATCTTAATTCAAGTTACTTGCAAAGAAGAAAACATCCAAAGAGACTTGACGGTTCAAATTTGCCTTTTGAACATAAGAGTTTTCACCATCATTTTATAAATGATTACAAAGCAACCGAGTACTAAAATATCCTTCCGAATTAAGATGCTGAAAAGTTTAACCATTTGTTGAACCTACAATTTAAGAAGAAAGTGGGTGACCTGCATTCAGAGGGTAAAACTCAGGGCAAGTAGGCGTTGTGCTGGGTTGGCATGAAAAACAAACACGCCCTTTAGAAGCAAAAACAAAGTTCGGCTGACTTCAATGTTAGGGACATTCTTACATAAGCAATTCTTTGTCATGTCTGGAAGTATGAGAACCTGTTTAGTAAAAAGAATCCTCATCTTCCTTGGAGCCCCAGGAAAGGTGGAATACATGAAAAGTCATTTTTGTTCCTACAAAGCAAGACCTCTGTGATTTGGTGACAATAACTGTGCTTTTGCATATGGTAGGAAGGCCATGATTTATAATACATTGCTTTATTCTGTATGTTTCGTGCTTTATGAGATTAAAAATCATAACACCTTAAACACAAAGCCATAATTCAATTTTTTAACCAGAGCTTCTAGCTCAGATATAATATTACTTTTGGAAACTCCTCAAATAAATGTTCCTGTGGATCCCAGAAGAGCTTCCTTTATGCCAATGAACTGAAGACATTGGCCTCTTGCCTTCATCTACAAAAGCTACATATGGCATGGGGTTGCAAGATTATCTCGAGAAGTGGAATCGTTGTATCTATCAAAAGTATTTTGAATTTAATCCACTTTCTAATTTGGATCATTCATTTCTTAAAGTTAATACATTTCAATTGGTAGTGCTTTGTTTGTCTTTTATTATCTCAACAAGAGGAATTGCTTTTATATTTCTTGTCATTTTTAGTCACATTTAAAAAAGCAATCGAGTAAATTTGTTGACTCAACCTGATTTCCACCAGGCTCTGTTTACAATAATAATTTAAAATCTATTTCTTTAGTGTTTAGACCTTGATCAGTCCAATAGAAACAGTTAATTTAATTTTGTTCAGAGTCTTTTTCTTATTGAGAATCTTTCCTTGAATGAGATTACATTTGCTAGCTCATTTCAATGGAAACTTGACCAAAGAATCATGAATTTTCACCAATCTGAGCTAAAGTTAAACTAACAGGTAGAAGAGAGGTGCTGGGAAGCTCTGTAATGTACTATGAATTTAACAAGTTATTAAAAATCTAATGCACAATACTAGTGCCATTTATTGGATTTCTTGTTCACAGTAAGCCCTTTAAATACATATGTTCACCTGATGCTCCCAAAAATTTCTGTATTATTTCCAAAGAGTTAGGACTTGCTTGAGCTCACAGAATGTAAGTGTTGAAACTGTGCTGACTCCAGGTCTGATTCCAAAAATCCAGGCTTTTGATCTTTGTATTTTACTTAAAATATGTAATATAGAAACAAAATAATTTTTATTATTGAGTTCTATTAGGAAACAATTATTTACATCAAACCCTTCAGTAAATAAAAAATAATTTCTTATAATAGGCCACTTAGGTTCTATTTAGTGCTGTGTGTGTGTGTGTGTGTGTGTGTGTGTTACTTCTTGGCTTGTCTTTATGGTTTTACTAAAAGACAAATACCCCATTCATGTACATTATTTCTTTCAGGGGGAGAAATATACTTATTGGTAATGCTAATTTTCACTTATTACAAAGCACAAAATAAAATCACCATAAACCATCTACCATAGTACCATTTTCATTGCTAGATACAGTGAGCTTAGGGTCAGTTGAAGGCACCTTCCTCATCATTAGATCAATAATAGCAGCAGCTTTTATTGAGCATTTTATTTACTATTTCTCCAGCCCTACTCTAAGTGATTCCTAAATGATTTCTAAATTTCTAAATTTATTCCTCACAGCTCCTGTACAAAATAGGTAGCAATAATCCCACTTTATGGGAAAGGAAACTAAGATTCAGAGTTAAGTAAATTTGCTCAAGATAATGGAAAGAATTCATGACTTAGAGTTGTATATCCAGAATTCATATCCAACTCTGTATCTTACCAACTTCTAATTCTGTAGCTTTAGTTACATTATTTAAAGTCTCTAGGTTTATACTTTTATATTATAAAAGTGATAAATGTCCATGACATAATTTGGAAAACATACAACAATATTTATAAAGGAAAAGAACCACCTAAGTCCTACTACCCAAACATAGTCACTGTTAACATGTTGGTAGCTTTTCTATATACTTAGTAAGAAAGGGAATTGTTTTCCCTTTTCTTTAAAAACTCGTGTAGTTAACCTGCCATATTAAGAATTTAAAATAAATAGATTTTATTTTCTAAAATTGTTTGATTTGAAAAATTTTTTTGTAAGATTGTACAGATAGTTTCCACACATGTTGCAAAATTATTACAGTATTATAATATCATTAGAGGCCTGGTGCATGAAATTCATGCATGGGGGAAGGGAGGAGAGGGGTGTCCTCAGCCCAGCCTGCACCCTCTCCAATACAGGACCCCTTGGGGGATGTCTGACTGTTGGTTTAGACCCAACCCCAAGGATCAGGCCTAAACTGGCAGTTGGACATCCCTCTCACAATCCTGGACCACTGGATCCTAATTGCTCACCTACCTGTCTGCCTGGTCACCCCCAATTGCCCCCCCCCCCCCAATGGCCTGGTTGCTCCACGCAGCCTGCTGTTCAGTCATTTGGTCGTCCTTCATTAACCCCCTCGCTGGCCTGATTGTAGGCAGCCATCTTGTGAGGGTGTGTGGGTCAATTTTCATATTACCTTTTTATTAAATAGGATATATTACATTATTTTAATGCATAGTTTATTCAGATTTCTTTAATTTTTTCTAATGTTCTTTTTCAGTCCAAGATGACATCTATGTCAAAACATTCTA